AAATTTTCTAAAATTTGATCGTATGTGACTCTGCTCCCTCTTTCTCCCCTTTAACCACCCGCAATTGTGTCCGTCATTTTTCACTGAAGTCAGGATGGGTCAATAGTTAAATTAGGTGTTCGTCCAGCTATCTTAACATACTAATTGTTTCTCTCAGCAGGTCCATATTCGTGTACTGCCCGCGGTTCAGCTGAGCTGAGGACTTCATGGGCCCGTGCTTTCTCCGATCCAGCGGCGGGGGGACCAGGTCGCATTTGTGAGATCCAAAGCATTCGCGTCATTGTCTTCTCTGGTTTAAATTAGCATGAAGGTCGCTTTTGCCTACAGATATAAATGAAGTATTACACCTGGATATCTCACTCACTCACTCGCCCACTCTCTCTCTCTCTCTCTCTCTCTCTCTCTCTCTCTCTCTCTCTCTCTCCCTCTCTCTCTCTCTCTCTCTCTCTCTCTCTGTCTCTGTCTCTGTCTCTGTCTCTGTCTCTGTCTCTGTCTTGTCTCACTCTCACTCTCGATTATCTGTTCTAACTCACTGTCGCAGGTCTTAAGATTGAACCATATCGTTGAGTCTTTTAGGCAAACGGGATTTATCGAAATTGTACAATATTTGTAAATTAAGCAAACACAAAGGGACAGGTGATAACCGGCCTTTAATTGATTGTAATGAAAGCTCTGCGGCGACCTGACCCTGCTTCAGATCTGATCGGCGCCCATTCTGACTCATCGGTGATTTTGGCGACTCCTAGCGGATGTCGTCAAGGTTACGTTAGCTAGGTGGCGGTAGGGAGTCACGGGTTGGTCTGGATTGTCGAAGTTGTACCAAAATATTTTATGTATGAGATCGATCTTTATAACTACTGATTTAGAAACTTCGACATCTTGCTCTCTTTCTCACATACATACCAACTCACGCCCCAATTTACTCATCCACTCCCGCACGCGTCCACTCATTCACTCATCACTCACTTACTCTTTCTATCCTTGCCAGTCTGTCTCTCCTACGCATACTCGCATACGCGTCAGATTCAGGGTTATGTGGCGACCTCTCATGGCAGTTTTGGGAACCAGTGTGGCGTATTCCATGCTAGGTGGCACTGTTAGTACTGTCAGCTGCAGCTGAGCAGTGAGCACTGTCGGAGTCTGCACTGAAGGCATTGGATCTTGTAGGTGGCGCTAGTGGTGCTGTCGTCGGTGCGTCTATTGACCTGTTAAGTGTTTAAGGTCATGTTTAAGGTCAAGGGTCATACATTTCCATTTCGTTTGGACTACAATCGCTCAGTTTAAAGAAAAGCTCACAGGTCCAACATCAGTTAATTAGGGTCTGCATCTCGTTCAGTAAGGTGGCCTGGTGACAATCTGACCTGAACAAAACAAATTCTTCATCCTACATAAATGACGATGAGCTGCGGTAATTTCTGGCTTCCCTCCGTGACCAACTCTAGTTGTGTACAAGCAGGGTGACATTTTGACATAGTCACGTCACATTGAACGGTAACTCGCTTGATGTTTATGATCAATTGCCTCAAATGATGCATCAATTTAACAACCGTAACATTTCTACGTTAATCTTTGATATACCTCGACGGGGGAGCTAGCATCAGTATCAGTAGGTACTGATAATGCTAGGACAGAAGGAGTAATTGATTGACAGGTTACGAACAGCGATAAATTTATAACGATTGAAATGGTGATTCAGATGTGTCGGTTATATATAAACACGAGTCACGAAACGGCTCAATGCTGATTTAATAACGAACCGGAAGGCGATTCAGACTCACAGCGTTCTTGTTCTGGCGCTGAGCTGCCGAAGGAGCAGAATAATGTTTGATGTTTACAATGTTTACTCTCCCTATCCGAATGTAACTGAACACGTTACGACTTCTGGGCCGCCTTCATGACAAACCGTATCCGAATGATGAGTATATCCCATGAATGTGACAATCCTACGATGACCGTCGATTTATCTCGAATAGCACTTGTAAGGATTGAGAATCAATTGACAAACTTGGAATTAACACTAGATTGATAATGAATTGATACGCTGGCCTACCGAGTTCAAACTGATTAGATTATGAAACAACTTATGCTGACCTACTAGCTTCGAAAAAAAAATGTATCTGTAAGTGTCGCGTCGTGAGGGATGATCATTGCATTTCCGTTGATTGGTGATCAGACGGCCGTGGCGTAGTCTCATTCAACTCCGGTGAGTCTGTGGTGCTAGGCTGGCGTGAGGCCGTGTGATCGACGATGACGACTCAATGATAATTACGTTAGCGGTCTCTGTGAATCTGAATCAGCAACATATCTGGAGTAACCCTCCCTTTCTTTTCCCAGACAGATTGTTAAATTTTCACGCTATATTTACAAACGGGCGATACAGTAATGCTCAAGCTCAAGCCATAACCGGTGCATTGCGATCGATATAGTCAACTCGCCATTCTCGATACAAACTTAGCCTTAAACCTAATCCTAACGCCCTAACCGCAAAAAGATTATTTACAAAACATCGCCAATTGAACTGTCATGACGTCATCTGACGTAGTTTGACGCGTCAGTGGTGACCAGCGCCCTAAAAATGACACCACCTGACCTGTTCCACTCCCCTCTCATACATTTGAATCCCACACCTCACTGCGGCCGGACCGCGCGCGCGATGACCGACAGATAGCGCTACCCCAATACCAATGTAATGGTGAGCCATTAGCCTACACTGACCATTACTGACCCGCCCCGGCTGTCCCTCTAACCCCTCTGTCTATCCCATAGACAAGGCCGGACCAGTCATGCCCATTAGCCCCTTCCCGCCTTTACAAACAGACGCACCACTGCCGCGCTGCTCGGTCGGGAGCGGAATGTAGCGACCATCTGCCCTCCCTTCCCTGCCGAATAACACTCCCACGATGTTAAATCCATTACCCTCTAATGGTGGCTCAGGTTAGACCCCAGGGAGTGGCATTTGTAATCCAGATCAGAGACATCCGACGGGTAAATGGGAGGTGAATTGTCCATGACGGGGAGGCAGTCTTGATGAGGCGGACAGATGAGATGACTCACTTGACAGTGTTTGATGATTGCTGTCCACTCCAGCTGAGGTCCGGTGCAGTGATGATCCGATCAGCAGAGAGGCCGCTCCGGCCGAAGCCGGGCGGGGCGGTGTCCCGCGCCGAGTCCCGAGGCGTTCTGTCTCTGGTGGTCGGCCACCGGTGGTCGGTCTCGGGTCTGTCTGAATCCCTTCTCCTTCTGCATTGAGTTTTTGTTCTCCTGTGATTTCCGGGCCGGAGGTTCCGGGCGTCGCCGGGCCTCGCTGACCGGGGCAGAAAATTGGCGACATCCCGTCTCGCATCCGGAGTCGAGACCGTCGCCCTCCTCCTCCATTCCGCCGGAACGTGACGTCATCCTCACTTGCTCGGCTCATCCGTCTCAGCTGTCTCCTGCCGGATGACGTTTTCACACTCGATTTTCGCCGGATGTCGGTCCCTGCCTGTGCCGGACGGCTGACCGCAACGACATCCTCCCACCTTCCTGTCAGCTGCGTCGGCAGGATGTGCGTGGCGCCAGGCGTCGGGAGGCTGGTCCAGCACCGGGAGCAGCTGTTTCCGGCTGCGTTGCGTTTGTCGGCGGCCACTGCGCCGGCCCGGATGGGTGTGTTTGTACTCCACCCTTCGGCGAGCCTTTGATCTTCGCTTAATGGTGACCGGCCGACGAGTCGGGGATCGTTTGGTCGACCCCCTCCCCACGCCGGCTCAGCGCCGCGGCAGGCAGTGCGATCGTCCTTACGTATAGAGTGTGAGAGATGTCCTTTTTGATGTACGGAGAAAAAAATGTCACAGCTTCCAGCTGTTACATAAGTTGGGCAACTTTGCAGTCTCTTTGTGCTATTTTCTACAGTGTTGCAGCCTCGTGTATTGTTTCGCACTGATGCAGTTTCTGTGTTACATTTCTGGGCTGCGTTGCAGTCTCACTGCTTGTTTCTTATCGGCATTGCGGTTTCTGCGTTTATGTTTCTTCTTACGGTGTAGCCGTCTCTTGCGTCATTTTCTTAAACGGAGTTGCAGCCCATGTGATGTTTTATGGTATCGTTCGGCGTTCCACCCTGTGTGCGTTATGCTTCTCGGAATAATCTATACAGCGTTGCAGTGTCTTTGAGCTATGTCTCTTGTGCCGCTTGTATTATATGCATTATACCTATAGGCTATAATGTAGGCAAAATGCACTACATAGCTACATCCTATGCAGCGTCGCAGTCTCTGTATGCTACTTGGTCCGCATTTCTATGGTTTACATTGCAATCAAACATCAATCACCTGGTGAATAAAGCAAGAATCTGATGAGCAGATCAACATCGATTATGTAACAAACGCCGGAGACGAGAGCTGCCGCCGTCAGCTGTAAACTGGCACATTTTTCCGACTTATAACCTGTTCGATACTTAGCGAACATTATCACCAAAGTTTCCCCGCTAATACGAAGACTCGTAAAGACATTGAAGAGGTGAACCATCACGTTTGTGAATAAAATAAAGTATTTTGTATCAAATCAACATTTTTTAACTGGGATTACCAAGCACACAGCGCAAGCATTTTGATTGCATGCCGTCGAGAGAAATTAGAGCCAGAATCTAGCCTATTACATAATGTGATTACCTTTGCCAGCAACCATCCAACGAATTAGGATATCAACAAACCATAACTTACGAGTACACCTTGACAGCTATCAGTCATTGGGATGCTGGTAAGAGGCCATGTGGTGGTTTCGCTTTACCCCTCCCCCGGCGCCGTCTGTCTGTCGTTTCCCTCTGCAGTCGGTACCGGCTCCACCAGCCGCAGATCCTGGCGCACTTTCCTTCGAACCGGTCCTCGAAGAAGAGCGAAAGTCGTTCACAGTTCCGGTCCAGCCTGCAGTTCCGGTTTCCAGGGGGTAGGGGCGGCGGGGGAGGGTCCCGAACACAGAGAGGCTGGTGAATTCAGCCGACCGGAGTCAGAGTCAGAGTCGATCGCGAGTCGGGCGGTGTCGGACGGCGGTGAATCGCGGAGGAACGGTCCGGGAAGGGGACAAAGCCAGACAGAGTGCGATTGATATTGGCAGGCGACAGGCGGAGTCAGTGGTGACGTCCGGACTTTGACGGTGTACCGGCAACAATAACAGGTGAGCTGGAGTGAACAGCGAAACGATTCGTTGGACAACTGTGTTAAGGATAAGGTAAATTATCCCGATAATGGTACAAACTACTCGGCGCATAGTGGTCAACATTGATTTTAATCGTAACATGTTCAAGTTCTATACCTAACTGCACGAATATCACCTGCTGTAATTAATTACTTTCGCCAAAATAATGCAAATCCAGCATGACGATGTTCCGAATGCTTATCTTTTATCATCTGGGAACCGATAAGAATGCACATACCAATATAGGTACTACCTACCATTAGGAAATCAATTTATACCGACGTGAAAATCATGAGACATAAGGTTTGAGACGTAACGTTTATATGTTAGCTAAGCGTTTGATAGACTGACGAGCTTAGGTATTTAATATTCAATTCATATTTATTGATTAAAATTAGCATTTTGATGCAAGGTTCTTACATTTTATCAGTCACCTAGGGACACCTAAACCAGCCGTTTTAACGACATGCTTGAATAAATACAACAAAATAATTTAATATAACTACACAATCGAACGACAGATAACGTAATGATCGATTAGAAAACAAGTAAGGGGGCATGTCAAATTCGTCACGGATGTTGATCTCCTTTGGGCCTCGGTGGATATTTCTATTTGTCAATGACCTCAAATTTAACGAAATCATTATGCTAATAAAAGCCTGTATTTCTTTCAGGTGTGAAAACTGCCATCAGAGTTCCCGGGACGCCGCGACTTTGACCATTTGTCCTCTCACAATCCTCTCCAAGTCGCCCTATGTCCGTGATTTGGACAGCCGCCCTCATCCCCCTCCTACTGGGTGGCCATGCCCACACTGCCTTACGCCCTTCCCGATGGGACCTCCCTCCTCGCCAAACCCCACCACACGCCCCTGTGACGTCATCGGTGTACGATCGTGACGTCACTGGAGTCTGGCCTGGAGGCTGGTGGCAGGAGAGGTCAGCCGGCCGAGCAGTACGGCCTAACCCTCACTGGCACCCGGCAGAAGCCTGGAGAGATCGCGGCCCAAGTGACGCAACCGCCGCTCCCATGGGTCTACCCGATCCATTGGTGCTGCGGAACAGGCTGGGTCAGCTGCAGCCGCCCGCTCCTTGGCGTCAGGTCGCCGAGGTCAGATCTCCGTACGCCCTATCCCAGGTCGGCCACGGTGCTGCGCCCCTCGGAAGACTCACTCCTCCGGGGTACAGCGAACGGAACACCGCACCGTTCTCCGCACCTCCAGAGTTCGACCACCGAGCGGGGATCTTAGCGGCGCAGGTCCCTCCCTACTATCCTCCGAGGGGACAACAGTGGCAGTCGGGCGTCCCTCCGGTTCAACAACACATCGCGCCCCGGCCGCAGACGATGGGACCGGTTTACAGTACCGCCCCAGGTTTCACCGCTCCCCTGAGGTCACTGCCGTACCCGCTGAGCTCCGGAGCTCAACCACCACTCGCTGCGCTGCAGAATCTGATCAGGTCGCCCGCCGTCCCTCCGCAGCCAGCGGAGTACTCTCAGAGGAGTGAGCTCCTTTCCGCTCTCCGACGCCCTCTCTACCCATCCCAGCCGGCGCTGGCGGTCCCTCTGATGGCCCCGGTGCGTCCTATCCAGGCTAGGCGTTCGAGCCTCCGTCAGGACTCTGAGGAGATCCCGGAGAGATTCTCCAGCCTTCCAGAACATTTCCAAGATCCAGAGGACGTCCCTCAGCCTCAGGCAATGCTGGCGCTGGTGGCGCCACCTGTTCCTCTTCCTCAGCGGCCGGCTCAAGTACCACTAGTGACGTCACAGCTCCCTCAGTACGGCCCGTACGAGGTCCCTCGGCAGTATCAGCAGCTTCCGACGGCAGGCTTCTACCCGTACGCCCTCCAAACACCCTCAGCACAGCAGCCGGCGCTCTCGACAGGAGACCCAGCTGCGCAGACAGTGCTGCCCTCTGGACGGACGCCGTCGCGCAGCTCGGAGTTCATCAGCCCGGTTCGGTTTACGACTCAGCTGAGGCGTTCTGAGGCGCAGAGAGCTGCCCTGCTCACTGAGCTCAGAAATGCCGACCTGTGGAGGCAGTCTGGTGACCAGACTAGGGGCTCCCATGGTATCAACACCCCACCAGCGGCGCCAGGACGTTCTCCGACCACAGCGAACACTTCCTCAGCTTCTGGAAGACCGCGGCATCCCCCGGAACCGATCAAGCGCGGCGACCTCTCAAAGGTGAGCTCCGGGTTAGTGCTGACTGCCACCGAGGGTCTCACGCTACCGCTCAGCGCTGCTGCCGCCATCCTCGACAAGTTCGGCTCAGCCATGGCGGTGCCCTTCCCCGGGATGGGCGCCGCCATCGCTCGCGCGGCAGGGGTGCTGGGAGGCGCGGCCCAGTCGGCCACGCGTCTGGCACCGACCATGGCGCCGCTGCTGGTCGACACGCTGGAGGAAGTGTGGAAGCAGGCGGCCAGGGCGGAGTCGCAGTCGGCCACCGCTACTGGGCGATGGGAGGACTTCAACAACGGCATCAACGTGTTTGAGGTGACGGCGCACGGAGACGGCGTGCCGGTGAGGACGGGAGAAAACGAACAGGATACGCAGCGTGGAGAGTCGGTACAGGACGAGACAAAGGAGCGAGTCAGTGTGAACACTAGCCGACGAGGGCCAGGGGATGAGGTGAAAGTGGTTAACGAGAGAACAGAGAGCGTCGCCGTGGAGCAGACAACCCCTACGCCCGAGTCAAGGAGAGAGAATGCTAAGGACGAGAAGAAACAGGAGGACGATGCAAAGGAGCAAGAGGATGAGGAGCTGGCTGACCCAAGTGATGCGACGCTGTTGGTGGAGGTCGAGGACGATGATCCGGATACCGCTGTGTGGCAGAACATGGACTGGGCACAGTTTCTCCTGAACAGGAGACAGGTGCAGGCGGCACAGGGCATATCGGCACGCAGTCTGGATCTAACAGAATGACAGGTGAACGGCCAGGAATGACCTGACACTTAATAGTTATCAGGGTCGGAAGACTGCCAAGAATGCCAGCGAAACCAGTGAATCGTTGTTGGTGCACGGACAGTGTCAATGCAGCTAATGAAGTAGGCACTTAGGTGCTGGAAGTCGTTTTGTTATACATAGCTGGTAGATAAGACAGTGATATTGACTTGGTTGGTTTCGTTTCATTTTAATTGTACCCGACTTTTTGTACAGCCCTTATTCGTGAATAATGTTACGTGAGACGCTAACACCAAAGCACTCAATTTCGTGAGCATCATGTGCGATACTGTGCTGAGACCGTCCGTGACCTCTACTGACCGAAGAGTCGAGAACTATGTAGTCAATGTGCACGCTAAAGTGCGCACGAGCTATTTGAAGTTTCTGACTGGTGCCAAGTTTTAAACGTGACGGTCATTTCTTTAACTTTTGTTCCAATGAAAAGGACTACGTGCTTCGCACTGGCCATTTTCTCAGAGTTTGCTTCTCTTTGGCTCGCACACAGGCCTTGAGATATTAGAATCAGAACAGTCTTGTATGCTTTGTATTCAGTGATTTATTTCCATGAAGTTACTTGTTTTTATGGTAAACTAGCTTTAACGCCCGTTCTCGCAAACAGGCAATAAAAAAATGAGTTAATTCGTCGTATGTTGTTATCATTATTGACGCATTGTTGATTGCTTAATTTATATTGATTACCCAAGTAGTCTTTGTTATGTTGATGGTGCGAATGGACAGAATAAATATCGCTAGATGCGGTTTGTTTTGTTTGTCTGTTCTTCATCCCAGCCGTTCATTTCGTTCTCACAGTCGTCATTGCGACACGTATGGGCGCTACAGCCAGTCACATTCATTTAGTGTTCACTGTTCACCTCTGCTATCATTCCTCGCTCTCCTCCGTCAACCTATTTCTCGATCGAAAGCCCTAAAGGCCGCAATTTTTATAGAAACGTTCTGTGAGAACCGTGATGATAACGGGTAGCGTGCTTGTGACAAAAATTCGCTACACTTTCTAACCACAAAACTAAAAAACATTGCAGCGAGAGAGGTTCCGGGACGCACGGAAAACCTGTTGATAGCCATTGTTCTGCAATAATCTGGGAGCAGAGGCGGCCTACATCCCAGCCCTGTGATGTCCGTGAACTTAGCGACGTATACGTATACGTATTCAGCGACGAATTCCAAATCACTTCAGATTCATGGCATGGGTTAAGTTGAACTTGCTGAACACGAATATGACATTTATTTTAACTTTTGAGCTGATCATCATGGTTAAAATCCGGTTTAAATGACGGGGAACCGCATAACGTCGCGAAAATAAAAACCCACGAATTCCAAAGTATATGCAAAATGTAAAGCTCATCCAGATCTAACGTCCGTGGAAGAATCCAAGCTCGTTGCTCAACGCCTTCATGGTTAAAATCCGGTTTAAATGACGGGGAACCGCATAACGTCGCGAAAATAAAAACCCACGAATTCCAAAGTATGTGCAAAATGTAGAGCTCATCAAGATCTAACGTCCGTGGCAGAATCCAAGCTCGTGGCTCTTTAACTTCATGGTTAAAATCCGGTTTAAATGACGGGGAACCGCATAACGTCGCCAAAATAAAAACCCACGAATTCCAAAGTATGTGCAAAATGTAGAGCTCATCGAGATCTAACGTCCGTGGAAGAATCCAAGCTCGTGGCTCTTTAACTTCATGGTTAAAATCCGGTTTAAATGACGGGGAACCACATAACGTCGCCAAAATAAAAACCCACGAATTCCAAAGTATGTGCAAAATGTAGAGCTCATCCAGATCTAACGTCCGTGGAAGAATCCAAGTTCGTGGCTCTTTAACTTCATGGTTAATATCTGGTTTAAATGACGGGGAACCGCATAACGTCGCGAAAATAAAAACCCACGAATTCCAAAGTATGTGTAAAATGTAGAGCTCATCCAGATCTAACGTCCGTGGAAGAAACCAAGTTCGTGGCTCTTTAACTTCATGGTTAATATCTGGTTTGAATGACGGGGAACCGCATAACGTCACGAAAATAAAAACCCACGAATTCCAAAGTATATGCAAAATGTAGAGCTCATCCAGATCTAACGTCCGTGGAAGAATCCAAGCTCGTGGCTCAACGCCTTCATGGTTAAAATCCGGTTTAAATGACGCGGAACCGCATAACGTCGCGAAAATAAAAACCCACGAATTCCAAAGTATGTGCAAAATGTTACGCTCATCCAGATCTAACGTCCGTGGAGGAATCCAAGCTCGTGGCTCAACGCCTTCATGGTTAAAATCCGGTTTAAATGACGGGGAACCGCATAACGTCGCGAAAATAAAAACCCACGAGTTCAAAGTATATGCAAAATGTAGAACTCATCCAGATCTAACTTCCGTGGAAGAATCCAAGCTCGTGGCTCAACGCCTTCATGGTTAAAATCCGGTTTAAATGACGGGGAACCGCATAACGTCGCGAAAATAAAAACCCACGAATTCCAAAATATGTGCAAAATGTAGAGCTCATCGAGATCTAACGTCCGTGGAAGAATCCAAGTTCGTGGATCTTTAACTTCATGGTTAATATCTGGTTTAAATGACGGGGAACCGCATAACGTCGCCAAAATAAAAACCCACGAATTCCAAAGTAAGTGCAAAATGTAGAGCTTATCCAGATCTAGCGTCCGTGGAAGAAACCAAGTTCGTGGCTCTTTAACTTCATGGTTAATATCTGGTTTAAATGACGGGGAACCGCATAACGTCGCGAAAATAAAAACCCACGAATTCCAAAGTATATGCAAAATGTAGAGCTAATCCAGATCTAACGTCCGTGGAAGAATCCAAGCTCGTGGCTCAACGCCTCCATGGTTAAAATCCGGTTTAAATGACGGGGAACCGCATAACGTCACGAAAATAAAAACCCACGAATTCCAAAGTATGTGCAAAATTTAGAGCTCATCGATATCTACCGTCCGTGGAAGAATCTAAGCTCGTGGCTCTTTAACTTCATGGTTAAAATCCGGTTTAAATGACAGGGAACCGCAAACCGTCGCCAAAATAAAAACCCACGAATTCCAAAGTATGTGCAAAATGTAGAGCTCATCCAGATCTAACGTCCGTGGAAGAATCCAAGTTCGTGGCTCTTTAACTTCATGGTTAATATCTGGTTTAAATGACGGGGAACCGCATAACGTCGCGAAAATAAAAACCCACGAATTACAAAGTATGTGCAAAATGTAGAGCTCATCCAGATCTAACGTCCGTGGAAGAAACCAAGTTCGTGGCTCTTTAACTTCATGGTTAATATCTGGTTTGAATGACGGGGAACCGCATAACGTCGCGAAAATAAAAACCCACGAATTCCAAAGTATGTGCAAAATGTAGAGCTCATCGAGATCTAACGTCCGTGGAAGAATCCAAGCTCGTGGCTCTTTAACTTCATGGTTAAAATCCGGTTTAAATGACGGGGAACCACATAACGTCGCCAAAATAAAAACCCACGAATTCCAAAGTATGTGCAAAATGTAGAGCTCATCCAGATCTAACGTCCGTGGAAGAATTCAAGTTCGTGGCTCTTTAACTTCATGGTTAATATCTGGTTTAAATGACGGGGAACCGCATAACGTCGCGAAAATAAAAACCCACGAATTCCAAAGTATGTGCAAAATGTAGAGCTCATCCAGATCTAACGTCCGTGGAAGAAACCAAGTTCGTGGCTCTTTAACTTCATGGTTAATATCTAGTTTGAATGACGGGGAACCGCATAACGTCGCGAAAATAAAAACCCACGAATTCCAAAGTATGTGCAAAATGTAGAGGTCATCCAGATCTAACGTCCGTGGAAGAAACCAAGTTCGTGGCTCTTTAACTTCATGGTTAATATCTGGTTTGAATGACGGGGAACCGCATAACGTCGCGAAAATAAAAACCCACGAATTCCAAAGTATATGCGAAATGTAGAGCTCATCCAGATCTAACGTCCGTGGAAGAATCCAAGCTCGTGGCTCTTTAACTTCATGGTTAAAATCCGGTTTAAATGACGGGGAACAGCATAACGTCGCGAAAATAGAAACCCACGAATTCCAAAGTATGTGCAAAATGTAGAGCTTCTCCACATCTAACGTCCGTGGAAGAATCCAAGCTCGTGGCTCAACGCCTTCATGGTTAAAATCCGGTTTAAATGACGGGGAACCGCATAACGTCGCGAAAATAAAAACCCACGAATTCCAAAGTATATGCAAAATGTAGAGCTCATCCAGATCTAACGTCTGTGGAAGAATCCAAGCTCGTGGCTCAACGCCTTCATGGTTAAAATCCGGTTTAAATGACGGGGAACCGCATAACGTCGCGAAAATAAGAACCCACGAATTCCAAAGTATGTGCAAAATGTAGAGCTCATCCAGATCTAACGTCCGTGGCAGAATCCAAGCTCGTGGCTCTTTAACTTCATGGTTAAAATCCGGTTTAAATGACGGGGAACCGCATAACGTCGCGAAAATAAAAACCCACGAATTCCAAAATATGTGCAAAATGTAGAGCTCATCGAGATCTAACGTCCGTGGAAGAATCCAAGCTCGTGGCTTAACGCCTTCATGGTTAATATCTGGTTTAAATGACGGGGAACCGCATAACGTCGCGAAAATAAAAACCCACGAATTCCAAAATATGTGCAAAATGTAAAGCTCATCCAGATCTAGCGTCCGTGGAAGAAACCAAGTTCGTGGCTCTTTAACTTCATGGTTAATATCTGGTTTAAATGACGGGGAACCGCATAACGTCGCGAAAATAAAAACCCACGAATTCCAAAGTATATGCAAAATGTAGAGCTCATCCAGGTCTAACGTCCGTGGAAGAATCCAAGCTCGTGGCTCAACGCCTCCATGGTTAAAATCCGGTTTAAATGACGGGGAACCGCACAACGTCACGAAAATAAAAACCCACGAATTCCAAAGTATGTGTAAAATGTAGAGCACATCCAGATCAAACGTCCGTGGAAGAATCCAAGTTCATGGCTCAACGCCTTCATGGTTAAAATCCGGTTTAAATGACGGGGAACCGCATAACGTCGCGAAAATAAAAACCCACGAATTCCAAAGTATGTGTAAAATGTAGAGCTCATCCAGATCTAACGTCCGTGGCAGAATCCAAGCTCGTGGCTCTTTAACTTCATGGTCAAAATCCGGTTTAAATGACGGGGAACCGCATAACGTCGCGAAAATAAAAACCCACGAATTCCAAAATATGTGCAAAATGTAGAGCTCATCCAGATCTAACGTCCGTGGAAGAATCCAAGCTCGTGGCTCAACGCCTTCATGGTTAAAATCCGGTTTATATGACGGGGAACCGCATAACGTCGCGAAAATAAAAACCCACTAATTCCAAAGTATGTGAAAAATGTAGAGCTCATCCAGATCTAACGTCCGTGGAAGAATCCAAGTTCGTGGCCTAACGCTTTCGTGGTTAAAATCCGGTTTAAATGACGGGGAACCGCATAACGTCGCGAAAATAAAAACCCACGAAATACAAAAATTGTGCCAAATATAGAGCTCATCCAGATCTAACGTCCGTAGAAGAATCCAGGCTCGTGGCTCTTTAACTTCATGGTTAATATCTGGTTTAAATGACGGGGAACCACATACCGTCGCGAAAATAAAAACCAACGAATTCCAAAGTATGTGCAAAATGTAGAGCTCATCCAGATCTAACGTCCGTGGAAGAATCCAAGTTCGTGGCTCTTTAACTTCATGGTTAATATCTGGTTCAAAT